ACCATATAATATCTCACTGTAGCAATTGATAACAAGTTAGCCAATTTACATAAAACTGTAAACACCGGAAAGGTCCATTGACTTCAGATTTCAAATAAGAGTATAGGAATGTCTGTTTGAAATTTCATTGACACTGTGCAAAATATCTTATAAATATTTGCGTGCTTTCTTGATGCTGATACATAAATATATTTATATCATAATTGATTTTTTTTCTTCATAGTTTTTTCTTCCTTTACTGCACCAGTATTTCATTGGTCAAGCATTGCTGTTTCCTCTGACAGCTTTTGTAATTTTTTTAACTGTTATATTTATAACAGATTGCAACCGCTATACTATATACAGACTGTCTTCATTGCATGCTATGTGAATTATATTATATACAGGTTGTTGTTCTGACATCCCATGTGGCCATGTTATTTATATTACTAGCTGATGTCCTAGCATTTCATGGGACTATGATTATTATATCCAAGCTGTTTTCCTGACACCCATGCCAATACATTCTGTTGTCCTGAAATCCCATGTGACTATATTATATACAGGCTGTTGTTCCTGATATCTTATGTGACTAGTATAATGATACACAGACTGTGTGCTTTTCCTGAAATTATATATAGTTAAATAAACACATGGGTTTGTGGTAACAGTAAAATTATCATCCCGAGGAAAATACTGTACACCTCAGTAACAGTATTTTTTCACGAGGGGTATATTTTAACTGTTACACACAAACCCATGTGCTATTTATTTATTACCGAACAAAAACTGTGATGATCTGAATTTGAAAACTAAATCTAACTGTAACATAAAAATAAACCAAGAGTAGCAAAACTAAACTAAACTGTCCTTACCTTTGCAAGTTTTTAAGTGTACTGTGGGCCTGCTTGAGAAGCTGTTTTTCTTTTATTCTTTAAGCAAGTGATGATATTTCTAGTCATAAAAAACAATAACCTGTGTTTTTTTGAAAAAAAACCCTTCCCTTTAAAGGGGAAGATTGTGAAAACTGATCCCGTTCCAATATTTTTCGCAGGGGTTTTTAACAAAATCATTTAAAAAAAATAAGATAAAACCCTACGAAATTTTCCACCAAATCTATCGTAATGTTTTACTGGGTTTGAATTGTAAAATATCCTTTTTTTTTGACACTTTCATTAAAAAAATTGAAAATCCCAGAGGCCTAGGGAAATTTAACATTCGAAAAAGTGAAGGTAAAAACATATTACATCATATAACAGGTTTGTCCGAATTTAATGTAAATATGGTGGTGTTTTCAAAAGGGGAAAGGTGTGATGGTCATAGAGACTGCACTTTTGGTGAAGATGAAAATAATTGTAGTAAGTGATTTCTTTATTGATATTCCTAACTATTAACATCATTATGTGCTACAACAAATAAACTTGTTTGAAAATTTTGATATCAGCAGAGATGTTTTTTTGTTGAGTTATGAAAATATATATTTCATTTAAGTTATATTTCATATATTTTAAGTTAGTGCATTTAGAATGTATTTTAGTTGGTGTTCATATTTTGGGAGATAAAGGAAAGGAAACAGTTCTGTATTACTGTTAGCTTTGTTAGCTGTTAAACAAAAGGATGCCATAGCTTACTTGTAAATTTGACAACTTTTTTAAAGACCATCACCTTCATTTGCAGGCAAGAGAAGATAACTCATTGCACAGTTTAAGAAAAAAACAAAGACATTTCGTAAAGATTCTATACCTTGTTGTTATCTTTTTACATGCCTGTTAGAAAAACTTGTACTATAGAAACGACTCTGGCAGGCAGTGTCCACTTCATGTCCAGAGCATATCTCCTACATGCATGGAGGGATTTTGATGAAACTTCATAGAAATGTTTACCACTATGAGAAGCCATATTGCAGGCATGAACCAGGTCTCTAGTACAAAGGTCAAGGTGACATTTACAGGTCATTGAAAAATGCTTGTTAGAGCAAAACTTTTACATTCGGAGGAGGATTTTAATATTACATCGCAAAAATCACCATTGTCAGATGCAAAATTCAGGTTCTTGCAGCTAAGGTCAAGGTCCCACATAGGCGTCAAAGTTCAAATAAAACTATGAAAATATGTATAGGGACCATTTAGTCATCATTATTATTGGATTGTAACACAAATGGTCATTATCATGACAACATCTGTAAAACTTGTTACTAAGATCAATATATGCAAGGTCAAGGTCACTGAAGATTATGAAATATCCAGATTTTGTCCAGAGCATATCTCCTGCAAGCATGGAGATATTTTTATGAAACTTTATAGAAAATAATACCCTCTATGACAAGCTGTCTCATTTACATGTACCAGGTCTCTAGGTCAAAGGTCTAGGTCACAAATAAATGTCATTCAAAATTGCTTGTTATATACATTCATAGAGGGATTTCAATCTAACTTGGTACAAAAGTTCACCATTGTGATGCATGATGTCAGGTGCAAAATTCAGGTCCCTGTGTCATAGATAGGGGTCAAAGTTAAAATAAAAGTTAAAAAATGTGTATAGGGACCATTTAGTCATCATGTATTGAGGGATTGCCATGGCATAGTATTTTAGGTTGGTTTATGCAAAGGTCAAGGTCACTGAGATTATGAAATATCAAGATTTTGTCATGAGCATATCTCCTACAAGCATGGACGTATTTATAGGAAACTTTATAGATAGACACATAGAGTTCATATAAAAACGCTTTTCTTGAGCAAAATTTGTACATCCATAGAGGGATTTTAATTTTACTTGGTACAAATGTTAGCGCAGAATGTCAGGCGCCAAATTCAGGTCCCTGCGACTAAGGTCAATGTCACACATAGGGGTCAAAGTTCAAATAAAATTTTTTATAGGTACCATTTAGTCATCATTTATTGAGGAATTGTAACACAAATGGTCACTATCATGAAAACTGCCATGGCACTAGTATTTTAGGTCAATTTAGGTGATGTCAGGGTCAATAAAGATGATGAAATATCTGGATTTTGTCTGGACCATATGTCCTATATGTATGGAAGAATTTTTATGATAAAAAATGATAGAAATGTTCACCACCTTTAGATATATTGCTTCATACATGATCCAGTTCAAAGGTCAAGCAAAGTCTTACCTACAGGTTATGCAAACATGTACATCAAAATCTTTTATGATGGGTATATTTTGCCACAATATTGCCATTGTTTTATTAAAACCTTTGAATTATTGTTATCTTATTCTTGCATAACAATTAAGCTGACATTGGTATATTACCAGATAAGAAAACATGCATTATGCCAATATGCTTGATTTAGAGCACCCAAAAATGTTCAAAAAATGGCTGACAACACTTTGATCTAATGAGTTATACATGTATTTCAGCATACTGTATGGACGAAGAACATCATTGTGGGGGTAAGGTGTGTATTCCATTAGAGCGTATTTGTGATGCTATAGAAGATTGTCAAGATAAATCAGATGAGGCTAATTGTAAGACATTTAACTTACATACGTTTCATTTTCCTGTATAATTTGTTTTTAATTAGAAATACATAGAAATAAATTTGTTGTCCTTCAGAAACTGTTGAAATACATTTTCACTTGACAACTAAACCTGTAACTTTTAAGGCTTTAAAGACTGTTAAAATTGTTTTGTTTTAATTGTTACATTTAACCTTATTTTTGTGAAAGCCACAGGTCACAGACAGGGGAGTAGCTTGGGATAGACCTATGTGTAATTTGAAGTCTAGGGGAAACAAATCTACAGGTTCTCAAGAAACAAATTGTACTGTGTTGTCAGAGACATAGATTTAGAACAGTAGATTTATTTAGGGGCCTATTAAAAATTGCAGGTAGAAAAAACTTTATTTTTTTATTTTTTTCAATTTCTTGAAAGAAAAAAAAAGGCCTCTGCCTATAGGAAGCTATGCGACTGACATGTATGAGAATTGTTTGTCTGTATGTAGACATTGTTTTTCAAAAGGACAATAGCTTAGTTGTTTGGTATACATGTAGGAGTTAAGTTAGTTACAAATGTAGTTATCATTTTTCTGGATGTGTTTCTGCAGTTCTATATAAGGTTGTCTTGATGGAAATGAATTGATATATCTTTTGTTTTAAGGTGGTATACAAGTGAATGTAAAAAATTCAGTAGAGGAAGTATTCGAGGGTGAAACTGTGAGGTTTTTATGTGAAGCTACTGTCAAGTTGGACCATGTACGTAATTTTTGTTACTGTATGTATTTGATTGCATATTAAAATCAAATGAGTTCTTTCTTAGACTTATTTCAACACATTTAAGTGCACCTGAGCACATATTACTCAGAGGTGAGATATTCCTGTCATATGTTGTACAACATTTATGGCATCAACATTTTGAAATTGTTTATAACAATATCTCCTTATATACCAATAGGCCATTATTGTTCAAACGAAGCAGAAATGTTCCTGATATAAAGCTCTTAAAAAGCTCTAGTCAAAGTTTGCCCAGTCCTGGAGTGTCAAAGATTTTCCATAGATTAGCCCTGTTCTGGTGATTATGTTTTACCTCGTATGTTTATTGGCTATGACTTTGGCATATAAATGGCAGGAAAAATTATCTAATGGACCTTGTTGGTTAAACTTATGAAACATTAACTAGTTGGCCAAGTTCTTTAAACAACCCTTTGGTCAAAATTGGCCCAATCCCGGGAGTTGGCTTTCCTAAGCAACAAGTGACCATTGCAGTCATTGACTTTCCTTAGCAAGAACTGACTTTCGATAACAAACTTTGACTTCTATTGCAACCATTTTACTTTCCAAGGTAACCAGCGGATTCATAGCCACCAGTAACTTCCCTTAGCAACCAATGACTTCCATAGCAACAAATTGTTATTCCAAAGCAACTAGTGACTAACAAAGCAACACTTGACCTTCCATAGCAACGATTGACAACTATAGCAATCAATGACTTTCTATAGAAACCAGTAACTTGCTGTATTAGCCATTAACTTCCCATAGCGACCAACAATTTCAAAATCAACTATTGACTCTTCATATCAACCAATGATTTTCCATTTACCTTTTTAGCTCGACTATTCGCAGAATAATCAAGCTAATGCAGTCGCCCATTTGTTGGCGTTGGCATCCCTGTGGTTAAGTTTTTGCATGTAAGCTGGTATCTCAATAACTACTGAAGGGAATGGATTGAAACTTCACACACTTGTTCTCTGTGATTATCTGAGATGATTGGCACAAGTCTCATAACTCTGATTTGCTTTTTTACATAATTATGCCCCTTTTTCGACTTAGAAATTCTTGGTTAAGTTTTTGCATGTAAGCTGGTATCTCCATAACTACTGAAGGGAATGGATTGAAACTTCACAAACTTGTTTTCTGTGACTATCTAAGATAATTGGCACAAGTCCCATAACTCTGATTTGCTTTTTTGCATAATTATGCCCCTTTTTCGACTTAGAAATTCTTGGTTAAGTTTTTGCGTGTAAGCTAGTATCTCCATAACTACTGAAGGGAATGGATTGAAACTTCACACATTTGTTCTGTGTGATTATCTAAGATTATTGGCACAAGTCCCATAACTCTGATTGACTTTTTTACATAATTATGCCCCTTTTTCGACTTAGAAATTCTTGGTTAATTTTTTGCGTGTAAGCTGGTATCTCCATAACTACTGAAGGGAATGGATTGAAACTTCACACACTTGTTCTCTGTGATTATCTTAGATGATTGGCACAAGTCCCATAACTCTGATTTGCTTTTTAGCTCACCTGAGCATGCTCAGGGTGAGCTTTTAGGATCGATGATTGTCCGTCGTCCGTTCACATTTAGTTGTTAACACTCCAGCAGTCGCATTTTTGCCTCAATCATCATCAAACTTGGTCAGGATGCTTATCTAGTTGATAGCTCGGATGAGTTCGAACATGGGTCATCTCGGATGAAAAACTAGGTCACAAGAACTAAAAATAGAAAAACCTTGTTAACACTCTAGAGGTCACAATTTTGCCTCAATCATCATCAAACTTGGTCAGGATGTTTGTCTAGGTGATAGCTCGGATGAGTTTGAACATGGGTCATCTCGGATGAAAAAGTAGGTCACCGGAGCTAAAAATAGAAAAACCTTGTTAACACTGTAGCGGTCACATTTTTGCATCAATCCTCATCAAACTCGGTCAAGATGCTTGTCTAAGTGTTAGCTCGGATGAGTTTGAACATGTGTCATCTCAGATGAAAAACTAGGTCACCGGAGCTAAAAATAGAAAAACCTTGTAAACACTCCAGCGGTTACATTTTTGCCTCAATCATCATCAAACTTGGTCAGGATGCTTATCTAGTTGATAGCTCGGATGAGTTTGAACATGGGTCATCTCGGATGAAACTCTAGGTCACAAGAGCTAAAAATAGAAAAACCATGTTAACACTCTAGCGGTCACATTTTTGTCTCAAACATCATCAAACTTGGTCAGGATGCTTGTCTAGGTAATAGCTCGCATGAGTTCGAACATGGGTCATCTTGGATGAAAAAGTAGGTCACCGGAGCTAAAAATAGAAAAACCTTGTTAACACTCTAGCGGTCACATTTTTGCATCAATCATCATCAAACTTGGTCAAGATGCTTGTCTAGGTGATAGCTTGGATGAGTTCGAACATGGGTCATCTCGGATGAAAAACTAGGTCACCGGAGCTAAAAATAGAAAAACCTTATTAACACTCTAGCGGTCACATTTTTGCCTCAATCATCATCAAACTTGGTAAGGATGCTTGTCTAGGTGATAGCTCAGATGAGTTCGAACATGGGTCGTCTCGGATGAAAAACTAGGTCACAGGAGCTAAAAATAGAAAAATCTTGTTAACACTCTAGTGGTCACATTTTTGACACAAGTGTCATCAAACTTGATCAGGATGCTTGCCTAGGTACTTGCTCCGATGAGTTAGAACATGGGTCATCTCGGATGAAAAACTAGGTCACAGGAGCTAAAAATAGAAAAACCTTGTTAACACTCTATTGGTCGTAATTTTGACTCAATTGTCATCAGACTTGGTCAGGAAACCTGTCTAGGTAATTGCTGGGATTAAATCTAACATGGGTCACCTCGGATGAAAAACTAGGTCACAGGAGCTAAAAATAGAAAAATCTTGTTAACACTCTAGTGGCTATTGTTGTGATCCAAATAACCTGTAAATTGGTCTGAATGTTTGTTTTGATGTTTTCTAAGTCAAGTTCGAACATGGGTCATCTCGAATGAAAAACTTGGTCACACCGCCCAAATATGGAAAAACCTTGTTAACATTCTAGTGGTCACATTTTAGACTCAATTATCATCAAACTTGGTCAGGATGCTTGTCTAGGTAATTGTTGGGATGAGTTCGAAATCGCATGTGAAACTAGGTCACTTGAGCTAAAAATAGAAAAAAATTTTGTTAACACTCTAGTTGCTACTGTTTTGATCCAAGTATCCTGGAAATTGGTCTGAAAGTTTGTTTTGATGATTTCTAGGTCAAGTTTGAATATGGGTTACCTGGGTAAAAAACTAGGTCACACTGCTCAAATATGGATAATCCTTGTTAACAGTGTAGTGGTCACATTTTTGACTCACCTGTCTTGAGACTTGGTCAGAATGCTTGTCTAGGTTATTGTTTGGATGAGTTTGATGGGTCAGGTGAGCAATCTATGGCCATCATGGCCCTCTTGTTTACATAATTATGCCCCTTTTTCGACTTAGAAATTCTTGGTTAAGTTTTTGCATGTAAGCTGGTATTTCCATAACTACTGAAGGGAATGGATTGAAACTTCACACACTTGTTCTCTGTGATTATCTAAGATGATTGGCACAAGTCCCATAACTCTGATTTGCTTTTTTGCATAATTATGCCCCTTTTTCGACTAAGAAATTCTAGGTAAATTTTTTCTTGTAAGCTGGCATCTCCATAACTACTGAAGGGTTTGTACCTTTTCGGACAATTTTATGTATTCATATAGGTAAGCATTATTTTACTTAATGAAACACCCTTGTGACAACTTTTCGAATAGTCGAGCGTTACTGTCCTTCGACAGTTCTTGTTTCATAACTTGTGTCTTCCGCAATCATTGAATTTAATATACAGTAACGTTCATATTAACTACTGATTTTCATCAGTTCTCTATCACGGTTCGTGCTTCAAATGAACATTTTTGTGCATGACTTGTGATATGATCAGGTCTGTACTCCAAATCAAAATCTGCTTTTTTATGTCTTAATGGACCGTCATGAAGCATAGACTACATCCACACATACATATAGGGTTTGCAATAACTGTTTTATAGTGTGAACTATTTCATATGCAGATATCACCATTGTGATATCAGTTTTAGATTAAGACCTTAAATCTGCCTTTTTTTCATTCATATTAAACAATTTTAATTGTTCCTCTTTGTTGAGCGTTTATAATTAGGTGAACAATATATATAAGGACTATCATGGTCATCTTGTACTATTTGTGAATTGATTCAGAGTCTGTTTTGATATAGATTTAGAATCTGATTTATTTGGTGAATTGATATACATGTATTTATGTTAGTGAATTGATATATTTATGTTAGTGAATTAATATTTTTCAGATTCCATATGAAATAAAATGGAGTAAGCAGGAAGAGAACATGGAAAAGCCAAAAAATACAGAAGGAGGTACACTGGTGATCAGGGAAGCAAAAATTAGCGATTCTGGGGTTTATGTGTGTACAGGCAGTAACTCTATCTCTGTTGATACAGATAATGCTAAGCTGATTGTTAATGAAAGTATGTGTATAGCTACCTATATTAACATTGTAATAAAAGTATGTGTACAGCTTCCTATATTTTACAGTTTGATTTTTATGCCCCCGGGCATATAGTAATTGAACCGTCCATCTGTCCGTACGAGGTTAACCTAGAACGGCAAGTTGGGTTTTTCTTAAATTCTACCTGTACCAATGGCTTCATAATTTACACACTTACTTATCCATAACAAAGTATATGATCTTGGGCAAGTTACATAACTATGGCTTCCATTTGCCACCAAGTTATGGTCCTTTTTCAGCACTTAAAAAATGAATTATGGTTAACCTAAAAACGGCAAGTTGGAAATATCTTAAGTTTCTATCTATACTAATGACTTTATAATTTCCACACTTACTTATCACTACAAAGTACATGATATTGCCAAGTTATATAACTGTGTCATCCATATGTCCCAGTTATTTCCCTTTTTTCACTTTGAAAATAGGGCCTTGTCTGGTTAACCTATTTCGGCAAGTTGGATTTATCTTAAGTTTCTCCTAATTGCTTAATTTCTTTAATGATATCTTTCATATTTAGTAGGTGGATACCTTTGATGGTCCTCTAATTTTTATGCTCCTCAAAAATTTCGGGGGAGCATATAGTCGCCGCCTTGTCCGTCCATGCGTCCCCTTTTCTTGTCCAGGACATAACTTTGAAACAACAAGAGGTATCAACATGAAACTTTGTAGGTAGATAGATATTATTGAGTAGGTGTGCAATGCACAAGAATTGTAACACTGTCTTGCCTACTTTTGGAGTTATCGCCCTTTGTTCATTTTGACACTTTGAACTTTGTCCGGGACATTACTCTAAAACTATAAGAAATATCAACATGAAACTTTGTAGATAGATAGGTCTCATTGGGTAGAAGTGCAGTGTTTAAGAATCATTACTCTGCCTTGCCTTATTTTGAAGTAATTGCCTTTTGTTTATTTTTACTTTTTTGACTTTTGTCCGGGACATAACTTTAAAACTAATAGAGATATCAACATGAAACTTTGTAGGTAGCTAGATATCATTGGATAGAACTACAATGCTTAAAGAACCTAAACAAAGCCTGGTCTAATTTTGGAGTTATTGCCCTTTGTTCATTTTTACACTTTGAATTTTACCCGGGACATAACTCTGATATCATCAGGAAACTTCATAGATAAATAGATCTCATTGAATAGAAGTGCAGTGCAAAAAAACATAACTCCGCCTTGCCTAATATTGGACTTTTTGCCCTTTGTTCATTTTTTTACACTTTCCTGTGTCCAGAACCTTCTCGGGGAGCATCACCCGGTTCAACCGGTTCTTGTTTGTGTAGTCAGCAGTCTCTAGGGTCAAGGTCAAGGTCACTGGTTTAAACAATAAATATAAACATTTTTGCTCGTACAGCCTTTATTTTTTAGTTGATGTCTTAGTTTAATAGAAACATGCCAAGCGAGGTCCTCCTTCTTTTGGTGTAGTAAGGGGTCATTTGGGTCAAGGTCTATGTTACCAATGTAAAGGTCACCAATGTTGAAAATAGATTTTTACAGGTGTATTAACCTTATTCTATAGACAGATGTTATTTATAATTGATAGAAACATAAAATTTGACGGAGTTAGTGGTCAGTTGGGTCAAGGTCACCAGTGCTAAAAATAATTTTTTACACATTTGCTCATACAGCCTTTATTAAGTGACAGATATATTTTATATTTGGTAGGAAGATAACTTGCATGGTATTCTTCCTTTGGATGGAGTAAGGGTCAGTTGGGTCAAGGTCACCAGTGCTCAAAATAGATTTTTACACTTTTGCCCATACAGGCTTTATTTATTGACAGATGTATTTCATATTTGGTAGGAAGATAACTTACATGGTATTCTTCCTTTGGATAGAGTTAGGGGTCAGTTTGGTCAAGGTCATTAGTGCTCAAAATAGATTTTTACACTTTTGCCCATACAGCCTTTATTTATTGACAGATGTATTTCATATTTGGTAGGAAGATAACTTGCATGAGGTTGAATATTTTTCAACTTCACAAGTCAGAGCAATGACTTGGCAACTTATATTTTTCACAATTACAAAATGCCATGACTTTGTCAAGCTATATAACTTGTGTTTACAATTTTTGGCAATTTTTCTGTTCATAACTGAGTGAATGGGTAAACATTTTTTGAAATATTGTTACTGACAAGAATATTAGCCGGGGCATTTGTGTTTAACAAACACATTCCCTTTTTTTTGCTTTTTGTCTCAATAATTATAAGAATAATTAGAGCTATCACAGTGAAAGAGTGTTGGTGTCGTCTAACCACTTGACTTAAGTTTAAGTTTTTGTAACTCCTCAATATGGTTTTGAAAGTTTGCACACTTGTCAAATATCATGACCCCCCTGCCTGTAGACAGAAGGAGGTAACTCTTTCAAGCACTTTTGATATCATTATACCCCGCACAACAAAGTTGTAAGGGGGGTATACTGGAATCAGGTTGTCCGGCCGTCCGGCTGTCCGTCGGTTTTTTTCTTGTCCGCCCAATAACTTAAGATTCCTTTGACCCACAGTCTTCATATTTGGCATGGAGGTTAGTCATGATTAGTAGATGACCCCTAATTCATTTTTGAGGTCACCAGCTCAAAGGTCCAGGTCACAGGGGGCCTTGACTTCAAAAAAGCTTGTCCGCCCAATAACTTAAGATTCCTTTGACCCACAGTCTTCATATTTGGCATGGAGGTTAGTCATGATTAGTAGATGACCCCTATCGATTTTGAGGTCACCGGGTCAAAGGTCAAGGTCACAGGGGCCTTGACTTCAAAAAGCTTGTCCGCCCAATAACTTAAGATTCCTATGACCGACAGTCTTTATATTTGGCATGGAGGTTAGTCGTGATTAGTATATGACCCCTATTGGTTTTGAGGTCACCAGGTCAAAGGTCACATGGGCCTTGACTTCAAAAAGCTTGTCCGCCCAATAACTTAAGATTCCTATGACCCACAGTCTTCATATTTTGCATGGAGGTTAGTCGTGATTAGTAGATGACCCCTATTGATTTTGAGGTCACCAGGTCAAAGGTCAAGGCCACAGGGGCCTTGACTTCAAAAAGCTTGTCCGCCCAATAACTTAAGATTCCTTTGACCCACAGTCTTCATATTTGGCATGGAGGTTAGTCATGATTAGTAGATGACCCCTATTGATTTTGAGGTCACCGGGTCAAAGGTCAAGGTCACAGGGGCCTTGACTTCAAAAAGCTTGTCCGCCTAATAACTTAAGATTCCTATGACCCACAGTCTTCATATTTGGCATGGAGGTTAGTCATGATTAGTAAATAATCCGTATTGATTTTGAGGTCACCAGGTCAAAGGTCAAGGTCACAGGGACCTTGTCAAAATAAAGCTTTTCCCCTCAATTGCTTCAGAATGCCTGTCCAGAGTGTATTGATTTTGACATTTTCACATTTGAAGCATGTAGAATACATAACTTAGCAATGCACTGGCTAAGTAACCTCAGATTTGGCAGGGAGGTTGTCCTTGAGTTCTAAATGGCCACTGTTGATTCTGACAAAGTGGTATGCGGGGGTATTCACGCCATGATAGTGGCAGTTCTATTTATGCTTAAAATTTATGTTAAAATTTGCGTACCACCTCAGATTTTTTCATATTTTATTGACATCTTGCTAAAATTGAAACAAATTGAAATTTTATACACTTTTTTGAAAGCATAATAGGACTCTTTCCAAGGACTACAACTGTAACGTGGATTTGAGAGAAAAAAATGGCCCTTTTGTGAACTTAAAATTTTTTATATTATCAAAGCTCTTTTACTATCAAGCACTAAGAATAGTTGAGTGTATTACAGGGTGTCCTGGTTTAAGTTTGTTTCCTTGTATAAATGATATATTTCAGGGTGTAAAGGTTTTAGTTTGTTTCCTTGTATAAATGATATATTTCAGGGTGTCCAGGTTTTAGTTTTAGTCCTTGTAATAATGATATATTTCAGGGTGTCCAGGTTTTAGTTTTAGTCCTTGTAATAATGATATATTTCAGGGTGTCCAGGTTTTAGTTTGAGTCCTTGTATAAATGATATATTTCAGGGTGTTCAGGTTTAAGTTTGTTTCCTTGTATAAATGATATATTTCAGGGTGTCCAGGTTTTAGTTTGAGTCCTTGTAATAATGATATATTTCAGGGTGTCCAGGTTTTAGTTTGAGTCCTTGTAATAATGATATATTTCAGGGTGTCCAGGTTTTAGTTTGAGTCCTTGTAATAATGATATATTTCAGGGTGTCCAGGTTTTAGTTTTAGTCCTTGTAATAATGATATATTTCAGGGTGTCCAGGTTTTAGTTTGAGTCCTTGTAATAATGATATATTTCAGGGTGTCCTGGTTTTAGTTTTAGTCCTTGTAATAATGATATATTTCAGGGTGTCCAGGTTTTAGTTTGAGTCCTTGTAATAATGATATATTTCAGGGTGTCCAGGTTTAAGTTTGATTCCATGTATAAATGATATATTTCAGGATGTCCAGGTTTTAGTTTGATTCCATGTTTAAATGATATATATCAGAATGTTTTTGTTTAAGTTTGATTCCATGTATAAATGATATATTTCAGGGTGTTCAGGTTTAAGTTTGATTCCATGTATAAATGATATATTTCAGGGTGTCCAGGTTTAAGTTTGATTCCATGTATAAATGATATATTTCAGGATGTCCAGGTGAATTTCTCTGTTCAAATGGGTCATGTATATATAGTTCTGTACAGAATATGTGCTTTAAAAAATATACATACTGTACTAACAATAATTATAATATCACAAAAAAGGTTTGTCTTCAATGTACTTTAACCATTACATATTTCATTATATTTTACGCATCTTGTGGTTTAGGGGTTGCCTTTAATGGTTGAGGCAAAAGAATTGCAGCCTTATCCCGGCGTGATTGTAAGAGACAACTAAATGGGTTCAGATAACTGGAGTCTATGAATCTCTAAGCTCCAGCATAGGAGGTGGTTTTAAACTCTGGTGTTGCTTTAAAGTTTGAAAAACAGCACAGATAAAATAGAGAGACAAAATATACTGTATGATATAAGACAAGATACACTGTATGATAAAAAGATTAAAGTAATTAACTGTATGATATAAAGATGAGATGAACTGTGATTTTGATTAAAGATATACTGTATTATATAAAAATGAGATAAACTGTATGATATTTACCTTTATTGCACAAGCGTATTGTGAAAAATGGCTGTTTTCATTAAAAAGCCTCCTGTTCAACTGCTATGAAACTATAAAAAATGCTTCAATACTGATCAAACTTGGCACAAATATTGACTGGACCATAATCTTTCTATCAGTGTGCCTAATTTTAAATTTCCTGTTACCATGGCAACAGGAGGACATCTCAAAATTGCCAAAAATCACTATTTTGCATTGATTTTTTTTCAAAACTTCTCAATGGATTGAGATAGAGTCAAAGGCTTGTCAGCATTGTTAAGGTAGACTTTAAGCCATTTAAGCCTGTCACAAGTCCAAAAGTTTCTTGATGATGAGGGGGCTGTTGACCCCCTGCAAACACCCAAGCTGAATGGGGCACATTCCCACTCTGTCACCTTTTCAAAAATAAAACAAGTGTTTGGGGACAAAATAAGGCATTTTTTTCACTATTTGAGGCCTCAGAAGGGGGCGCGGGGGTGGTTTGGGGGGTTACAGTTCCCATTTAAAGAAATGTTACATCATTTTTTAAAGAGAACTACTTAATAATTTTTGTTACAAAACTATTCATATGACAAAAAACTGGCGCAGTGGGTTTGTTCTGCCATGTTTTTCTGTGAAAGGCAAGGAAAGTTACCAATATTTTAACATGCAGCAATAGATAAAAGATTTACCTTTTAAATGGTATATGATATTAAAGGATCAAATGTACATCCATTATGTTTTATTTGCTACAAAATGCCTAATTTTTCACTTTTTGATAGGCATGAGTGATATTTCAATGCAATATATAGGAGCTGCTTATCTCTGTTATTTATGTCTCTGATTGTAAGAAGTGCCCTATCCTGAGGGATGATCAAAAATTAACAGGACAATACGTGTTCCACATCTTGTTGATGGCGGCGGATCGACTGCCTATTTATACATGTATCTCTGTACAAGTCTGCATCTTAATGTAATAGAATGGATGATCATAAAGAGCTCCTGTAATGACGCAAACTTCCGTTATTTCCTTCTGTAACTTGATTACTGGACAAATCGCACATGCAATAAACAATATTAAATGTCTTTCATTGATATAATGTTTCTGAATGATAATGTATCATACATACATGTAGCATTTGAGAAAATAAAAGAATAATACAACTAAGAACAAAATTGGCCCATTATTTTTAAAAATAAATAAAGCATAGCCGATTTTAATCCCTACTATTAATTGTTGACATAATTTCTCCATTAGACTCTTACGTAAAAAAATAAAATAATTTATACAATTGGAAACCAAAAATATAATACATGTATATGTAATGAATACATAAGGCAATTATCATTTCAAAATCCCTTAGTGTTGACTGAACCGTCTGTAATAGCTTACTGTCGAACAGAGTCGATTTTCGAGACATTCCAACGACATACTTTTAAACGCGAGTTTTTAGCTCGACTATTCGCAGAATAATCGAGCTTAAAATGCAAGTCACCCATTTGTCGGCGGCGACGTCGGCGGCCCTGTGGTTAAGTTTTTGTATGTAAGCTGGTATCTCCATAACTACTGAAGGGAATGGGATTGAAACTTCACACACTTGTTCTCTGTGATTATCTAAGATGATTGGCACAAGTCCCATAACTCTGATTTGCTTTTTTCAATAATTATGCCCCTTTTTCGACTTAGAAATACTTGGGTTAAGTTTTTGTAATGTAAGCTGGTATCTCCATAACTACTGAAGGGAAATGGATTGAAACTTCACACACTTGGGTTCTCTGTGATTAATCTAAGATAATTGGCACAAAGTCCTATAACTCTTATTTTTCTTCTTTACATAATTATGGCCCTTTTTTGACTTAGAACT